CACCTTCAGTGATGGTCTAGTTTTAGTTGTGAGGAAATGATCAATCATCATCAAAATATAAAGACTAACTGTCAAGAATAGAGTTTAGTATTGTAATTAAATTTGACTTGCCATGAAGTAAACCTGATGTTTCATAATATGCTTTAATTGTTATTATAGTGTTCTGTAAACTCTATGAGAGCACTGACCAAGTCTGTGTCATTCACCCTGAGCCTAGAACTGTGCTTGGCACACTGTTAATGTTTAATAAATGCTTGTTGAGTAGACTGGCATAAAAGCTTATTGTGAATAAAAAGGTAAATGGTTTGTGTAAATAACCTGAAAAGTTTGTGGAAAAATAGAATTAAAATATAATACAAGTCTTTCCATGACCTTTTGCAAGTACCAGTGTGTATTTACACATATATGTATGCTTGTATATATATTCATGGGTATTTGTGTAAATAACCTGAAAAGTTTGTGGAAAAATAGAATTAAAATATAATACAAGTCTTTCCATGAACTTTTGCAAGTACCAGTGTGTATTTACACATATATGTATGCTTGTATATATATTCATGGGTATGTGCTTATGTGTGTGCATGTATATGTGTATGTGTGTTTATATAATACATTTATAAAATATATATAATTTCTTCTGTTTTCTCCTTAAAATCCAGGGCGATAAGATGATTATCATCATTTTACAAATGCGAAAGTTAAAGTACAGTAAAATTTAAAAATTTGACTAAGTTTTCTTTAACTGGTTTTATTTTACATATAAAAAAATATATATATACACACACATATATGTATATACATATATATACATATATGCACATATATGTATACGGTATACCAACTCCCTTACTTCCAAAATGCAATTTTTAATCGCTTCAGTGCCAGGTGGGGATAGCAATGGGGAAGGTGACTGGTACAGATACTTCTACTCAACTAAGCTGCTCGGAAGGGGAAGAGTAATGTGGTCACGCACTTCTGTATTTAATCCTGGCCCTGACACTTATCCATCTGTAACCTTGTGAAAGTCACACAATCTCTCAAAGCCTCAATTTTCTCATCTGCCAGATGGAATAAAAACAGAGCCTACCTCGCAGTTGATGTGAGGCCTGGACAAGACAACAGACAAAAAGTTCAGCTTAGAGGGTGGCACGTTTGATGGCCGATGGCTGTGAATGAAGCTCTTCAACAGATCCATAGTTCAGCCTCTGCTTTATTCAGTCCTGTGTCTGATATTATTTTCAAAAACAGCAAATTGGCCTCTCTTAATAAATACACCATGGCTCCCAAGAATTCCAGAGAGGTTTTGTTTTTTCAAAGATAGATGGATCTGTCTCCCATAGGAATAAAGAGAGAAACCTGTAAACCCATTTAGTGACAGAAAAGACCTACTTTGAACCTTTGTGTTTATGTGTGTTGTCATCTCTCTCTCACAGACCTGCAGTTATTGCAAAATGTTCTGCCTTTTTAGATGGCAGGATTACAAGAATGTATAGTTTAAACTCTGTATTTTGCAAAGGATGTGCATTATTTTTGAGTCTGGGAAGCTTCAGAATAATTTGGTTGCTTTCTGTGTTTTGTCTCATTAGGTAAAGGCAAAAAAGTTCTAGTTGTTTTTTATACCAATATACAGCTTGTGTTTTAATTAAAACAAGAACCAGGCTCATGACCAGAGGGGAAAAACCATGAAATAGAAAGCCTAGACTACATAATAAGGCTATGGCTGGAGAGTAAGAAGAGGAGTTTTAAACTTGGGCATGTTTTTGTAAACATCCTTTTCAAATCTCATGTGCTCTTTTTTCCCCCCTCCCGCTACTTAAACCAGGAAAGAGGCTTAAGGGCTGTCAGAGGAAGAGGTTTATGGAATCCTAAAAATGAAAGCAGGTTTGTGGGAAACTACATTTCTTTTTATGCCATGAATTATTCATCATGCCAATGAATTAGCACATTGAAAACATTTTCATTTTTCACAACCAGGAAAGAGGCTTAAGGGCTGTCAGAGAAAGAGGTTTATGGAATCCTAAAAATGAAAGCAGGTTTGTGGGAAACTACATTTCTTCTTATGCCATGAATTATTCATCATGCCAATGAATTAGCACATTGAAAACATTTTCATTTTTCAACTTTAGCATTTGAATAATCTCCATTTAGCCCCTAAAGCAGCTGTAACATTTATTGCTCCTAGTTTAGCTAAATAGACTGAGAACAATCATATCAATATTTAATAGCTTATCTCCACTACTTTCATCATGAAATCATTAAGAACAATATGATTCTAGCATATTTCAGGTATTAAACCTGGATCATACTGAACTATGATAGAATCATCTACTATGTTGTAGAGGTTGCCAGTTAAAGTACAGTTTCTTCAGCTTCAAGTGGATTAAAATAGATTAGAATTTCTCAACCTTCATACTACTGACATTTTGGGCTAGATAATTCTTTGTTGTAGGGGACTGTCCTGTATATGACAGGATGTTCAGAAGCATCCCTGGTCTCTACCCATTAGATGCCAGTAGTACCTCCCCAGCATGACAACAAAAAATGTCTCCAGGTATTGCCAAGTGTTCCTGGGGTTGGAGAGATGGTAGGTAAAATCCCCCCTGATGTGAACCACTGCAATAAACTATATTTGTCTTGAAGAAGCAGTCAAGTGTTACTTGACTTGGGTATTCTAGAGACAGAGTGCTCCTAACTAGCTGGGTGACCCTGGACAAGTTATGTTAAGATCTTCATGCTATAGCTTCCTCATCTGTAAAATGAAAATAACAGTACCTTCCTTCATAGGATTATTGTGAGGATTAAACAAGATAATGTGTGTCCCATAGTAAATGCTCAATAAAGGTTAGCCATTGTTATTGTTTTATCAATTCTATGTAATTTCATAGAATTTCAATTCTATATAATTTCAAAACCTGATTTAAGTTTAAATTCTGGTTAGAGATCCAAACAATAGAAACATGTTTAAAGGAGTAAAGTTTGGATGCAGCTACACAATTACAGATGGATATCTTTATTTATGTTTCAGAGTGGTCAAGTTGTAGAAGCTCAACTATTGCGTAATCCTGTAGCCTAATTTGCTAAGCAGCTTCGGTCATTGCTTAACATATTTTATTATCTTTCAAGTGGAGATTCCTAATTCATCAAAATTATGGGCTGCTGCCAGATGATTCTTCTGTAAATAGAACTTCTCTGTTGAGTTTTTTTTTTTTTTTTTTAAATATCTTGACATCATGCCTGGTCTTTTCCCTTGAGATTTTTCTTCACCATTGGTCATATAAATATTATTGTATTATTCACTGAAATAATAACAAAAGCTACCATTTTTAAGAGCAACTTACTATGTGTGCCAAGATAAGTGTTTCAAATATATTATGATTTCACTCAATCCTCTAAACAACCTTAAAAGTTAGGTGGGCATCTCAGAAAGGCAAAGTTAATATGCCCCAAATCATCCAGCCAGCAAAGGTCAGAACAAGGTTAAAGCCCAGATTGGCTGCCTCCAATGTCCATGCTCTTAACACACAACTTTATTACTAAAGCTCAGAGAGCTACCACCCAACTTCTAATCATGACACAAGTTTCCCTTTCTACGACACCGTCCGCCCTACCCACATACCCCAATGCTATCATTCACTTTCCTTACTTTCCCCCCCACTCAGCTCAAAATACCTCAAGGGGAGTAGTCACAAGAGAACTGTGCTCTGAAAGCTTTCATATCAAGCGGGGTGATTTAGAGAGAAAGAGACAGACAGAAAGATATGGGAAAGAAGATGCTTATTTTGCATTGTTCTTAATGAGGACTGATAAAAATTGTCATGAAGCTGAAACAGGGAAAGGTTGAATTCACATTTCTCTGGTACAAAAAATACTCATCTAAGGTTGTACAAAATAAGTGATTCACTGAATTCATCCCAGTAATCCTATTCTTATAGGGAAAGGTTGAATTCACATTTCTCTGGTACAAAAAAACTCATCTAAGGTTGTACAAAATAAGTGATTCACTGAATTCATCCCAGTAATCCTATTCTTACGTACAGTATGCATATTTTATTTCAAGGTAAGGAATAAAGTAGAGGAGTATAAAACTGCTGACAGAAGCATGTTAAAGTAAGTTCAGCATTTTGAGACAATTTCCAGTGGTGACCCAAAGCACTGAGAGATCAATGCAAGACAAGGTCAGAAATTGTGAGTCTAGAGGTCCTGGGAAGAGAGTTACATGGCTAGTTCAGAAACAGCAAAATTCTCACTACATACTCTGAGAGTTAATTAGCCCAATTTTTCTGGGGCATTAGAGGCCAGCATGTTTGCTGGTGTCACCGAATTGATTGTGGGCCCAATATAAGTCACATGCAGCTCTAAGCAAGGTGCATGTAGACAATCCAATCAGAACAGTCCTGAGTTAACCGGGAAGCAGCAAGAAGTCTGTGGGTGTTATGGGAAGTAAGAGACTTATTAAACCACATCATGACAGGGTTAAGCAGGACCAGCTGGTCCAGTCCTTATCAATGTAATTTCATAGAATTACAATGCATGAGTCTTCCTAACTATTCCCAACAAGTATCCAATCTGTGCTTTGATACCCACAGTGATTGGAAGTATTATTCCCTTTATTGTTCATCAGTTAATAAATGCCAACTTGGCTGTTCTTTATTCTGTGTCCTTGTCAACTCTAAAGGAGTTCGGAATTAACCCTCTGAAAGTGCCTACAATACGTAAGCACTTTATAAATGTTCTCAGTCAATAGTTTTGACAACATTGGAACAGATGGAACCTCAGTGAGGTTGAATGTCTTGTCTTCCCAAGCTCACACATGTAGAGGGATTCACTTCTTGGTCCAGGAGACCCTAAAACCACACTTCGCCCACCACACAGGATTTCTGCTGTCAATTTCTAAACATAGTTGGAAGAGTTGAGAATATATAGAGTATAATAGAGAAAGTAGCCCATGAAGTTGAAGGCAGAATACCTTGAAAGCATTGCTTGCAAGTAGTAATACTTACAGATATGTCATCACTAAAGTCAATTTCATCCAAATCAAGGTATTCAGGGGCTTCCATTATTCTTCTTTGAACATTTTGAATAAGGTCAAATATTTATAAACTCCTAGACAAGACAGAAACAGAAAAAACAAAGGCAAGAAAGTTAGCTGTTTTATAACCAAAAATAATATCAAAAATAAAACAAAATGGGAAAGGTAATTAATTGGGTGCTAGTGTTGCCTTGCAGCACATTTCCGGTCTTTGCATGTCGCCAGCCTGGCTTTTCAGAAGCAGTAAACATAGCTCCTCCACTGTCCCCAGTGTGGCTCCCCAGAGAGCACCCACAGTCTTCTGCTTTACTTGATTTGTGCCTGTGTGCCTGTTTGTCTTTGCCAGAGTAGAATCTCGGATCAGAATTTCCCCTAGGCTCAATATAAGGATTCATTCCAGTCCAAACTCAGCTCTCTTCACACCCTGCTTGAAAGTAGGAGCTTTGGGGATGGGAAACCAGCCTGGAAATCTTAGGAAAACCATATTCAACTATTTCCTGTGGGCATATCCTTGAATGCTGTGCAGGGAGCAATGACTCCTGACCTTCACAGGAATAATACAAGTACAAGACAGATACCAACTAACCAAGAAGAATGAGTATCTTAGAATTTGCAATACAACCTTCAGTTCATCTCTCAAAAAAAAAAAAAAGAGAAAGAGAAAGGGTCTCAATACCGATTTAAACCATAGATTTATTACGTTGCCCTCTATTTGAAACAGCTTTCCTGACTGTGCCAGAATGACCTGACGCAGGCCTCAGAATGTCCTCAGTCAGCACTTGCCTTGGGGCTGCCTGTGGCAATCCTTTAAATCTGTCAAGGTAAGACACATCACCTCCCACTTCATTTTCCCATCACTTATCATCATCACCATCAGTGGTGGCAGTGGCACCTACAGATGTCAAGAACAGAAATACAGATCTCTGGGCAACGCCTTGGTGTGCAGTTATCTTCCGCCGAGCCAACTCTCATATCAAAATAAGATTCCATTTCCCACATTTGTCTTTCTTATTATTAAAATTGTCTACACACCCAGACCTGAGTATCGAAATAATTCATTTTTCCCTCTTTCAGTTCTCTAATCAATGTGTGCCTTGCTGAACAGTAAGGCATACATTACTGAAAAGTGAAAATACATCTAGGCTGATGAAAACGGGTTTCCCAATATAATATGAAGAGTGTAAAAAAAAACGTGATTTGTAAAAGGAAAATCTTATTCTGAAGTCACTACTTTCTCATTTTCAGCTGTACCTTTATTTTAACTATACAAATGGTATAATTACAATAAATAGAAAAAAATTCACCTACAACCCCATACCTCAAATGTGTCACCTGATTTAAATTTCCATGTTTCCTCTCCTTCCCTTCTCAAATGCATATATCATTTTAACATAGTTTTAATTATAATAGATAAAGTCCATCCAAGAAAGGATTAGAATGCTAATTCCATGCTCAAATGAGATTATCCATTTAGAATAAATATTAAATGTTCTTCTGAAACCACAGTAAGGTTTAGAAAGAAATGAAAACCAATTTGCATTTTAAGAAATATTTAAAATGAGAAATTTTATTATTTATAGAAATCTGAAAATAGATTCTTGAGCAAATGGCTTGGTATAAGAATATATCACTTTTCCTCTAATTCTCTCAGAGCTTTTCAGAGGAAAATACACACACTCATACTTGCAAATCACTCAAATTAATTTTCTCTTCCACTCTGATGGATTGTGAGACAATCCAGAAACTCTTCGGATTCCAGCTCGTCAGCTAGCAGACATTCTTCCAATCCAATTTCTTTTCACTAAATCAGTATTCCGCAATGAATTGTTGGTTTACAGACTATTCCCATGGCCTTGGTGAATAACACAAAGATGATACTGGGTGTCAGTAGCAAGAATGTGCAAATACGGGGAGATAAAGCAGGAAAACATACATGAGCTGGGGACATAGTGGATCTTTCAATACATGGAAATATAAAATGCAGATGAACATCCCTTTACTAAGCAAATTAACAAACACTGAACTCCTGTTTGGGGTGTTCTGACTATATTACAGAGCAATATCCACTCAAATGTAGCCATTCTAATGGAACATACCACTGGATAATATAAATCATGACACTGAAGTAGAAAATCTTTATATTTGCACTTGGAGGATAGCTGTGAGAGTCTTCATTTGATAGGACAAACACACATCATGACTGTTACAGCCCATTACCGGAAGCCCTGGGACACTGCACATTCAAGCGGGTTGGATGACTCAGCTCGGACCACGGGGTCCAAGGCATCTGGAGCTTTCCTTTACTTCCTAGTGGGCTTCCACATGCAGCCATTCTCTTCAGAATGTTTTATTCTGTCTACGATTCCATTCCTTTTGTTCAGTTTCAATGCTTTTCTCTTTCAAGATTCTACTTTGAGAGTATTTACATTCTCACAATGTGCAGAAATCCCCATGTTTCACTGATTCTGTCTACATTTCCCAACATTCACTGCTTCTTTACAGTCAAGGGTGAGTCCATGGTTGTCCCAGTGATCATGACAATGCCTCCTCCTTTCACATCTGACCTTCCACTGAGCATTTGTCACCCTTGGACACTCTCTTCTGAGGAATTAGGGATGAGACGGGAAGGTATAAGGTCAGGTTAGAGGAGCTGCTGCAAATCAAACACAGTAAGGAAACTGAGCTGGACTGGGGTCCCTTTTAACATCCTGCTTTTCTGCCACCTCTAACCCCACACACCAATCTGTGATGGAAACCCAGGGGCCCTCTTTTCAGACTGAGGTTACACCTACTCTAAGGGGACACATAGGATGTCCAGGAGTGGGATTTAGCCTACAGATGTGATTTGTTTGGCCCTAGTGGTGTTTAAAAAGATCGAATCAGTTGCCAACTTGTAGATCGTAGTTGATTTCACATAAAATTCTGGATTTCTGGCTTTGCTTAAAAAACCTCTAAAGCTCTGGCAACACAGGTCACTTCCCCATGGCAACAACTAACTAGAGCTAAACAGCAGCTGCTCCTACCTGTCTACCAGGAAGGGGCTCTATGTTCACCAGGGCCCCTACTGGGCTGCTCAATGCAGCACAGGCCTTGCCTGGCCATAGGGGCACCTGAGTGTTTGGCTCTTCAAAGGAATTAAGTATTAAACAGTAAGTACCAACACCACCCCTTTTTTTTATTGGTGCCTCCTGCCAAAAATGTTGACTTCACTTATATTCTAAGATTGTTTTAAATTCTCATACCACAACAGCAACAAAATAAAATTTCTTACAAATAAAACTATTGCATGTCACAATTTGTGCTTTTCCAGTCTCCATTTTATCTCTGAGAATTAGAAAAAGGAAACCGTCACAAACACCATAAAATGTTATGAGGTGGGGATTATGTTTCCTTCACTTTACAACTGGAGGAAGGAAGGGCTCTTGCATGGTTGTGGTTGGTGTGGATTTACATGGTGCCACTTCACTGCTATGGCAGGAGATTGCAGGAGAAGGGAGGAGGTTGTGCCAAGTGCAAGCCCAGAAAAAGACCCCAAGCCATCCTCTGGCCCAGACCAGTGCTTGGAGGCAAGAGGGCTGACCCTGCTCAGGCCAACTAGAGTGGGTTCATGCCTAAGTGAGAAATGTTTTTCAGGCTCTCCGGAAAGGGCAGTCCAGCTTAAAATCCTTTACATGAGATTCATATTTGCTATGCATCATAGTTGGCCCTGGCCCGTTTGTGATGGCAGGACCTAGTCATTTGTCAATTTGCCCAGTACATTTGTCAATTTGCCCAGTACCCCCATGCCAGCGGCCCTGTCCTACAAGCTGCAGTCACTTCTGAGTCTCTTCTGTAGGTTCTCTGAGGGCTTTCTTTTGTACTGCAGCCCATCTCTCCTTTCAAGATCTGTCCACCTTCAGTACTGTTGAGTGATGGAGACATCCCATTTCAAGCTCAATTGGGCTTTTCATTTCTCCTCACTGGTGTTGGAGATTTGTCTCTCCTTTCAAGATCTGTCCACCTTCAGTACTGTTGAGTGACGGAGACATCCCATTTCAAGCTCAATTGGGCTTTTCATTTCTCCTCACTGGTGTTGGAGATTTTTAATCAATTTTTAACTGGTTATTTACTTAGGCAGGTGTTTTTGTTCTTGTTTTTAAGAGGGGAAAGGTGAAGACGCACATTGGGCTGGGATGGGAGAGTAGAGAAGGGTAAAAAAACCTTTTTGATTTAGCTCTCTTAATTTGGGCAGGAAAATTGATAGAGGGAAAGAAGAAAAATACAAGAATGTGGGGACGCAGGGCCAGGTTGTTGGGACCTGTGTGTTACACAGAGGCTGCTGGTGACACTTTGGCCCCCTTCTTTGGGTGTGCCCACGGCACTTGGAGAAACCTCACCTGAACTCCAAACTGATACAGGCTTGAGGTGATAATGAACAAAATAATGAGCATCAACTATACATGTGTCTGCAGGATTTTCCTACTCTCACAGTTTTGATGAACTGCCAAGAACAGAAGTCCCTCCGGTGCCTGTTAAAGTGTTTGTGAGGGGCTCATGCTGCCAGTGGGTCTATCAACACCATGTCACCTTCTCATGACTGACCTCAGTGATGGCCCAACTGCTTCCTTCAAGGGAAGATGCAATTTGGGAAAGAGCTCAAAGTAACAAAGAGCTAAGTTGTACAATAAAAAGACAAGCAATTCAAACAATTGCCTCCAGTATTATGAGTTTTCAGGTGATGTTTTTAATTTTTGGTTATGACTTGAAAACTGACTCTGAAAATAATTCCAAATGAAGACTTCCAAAAAATCTTTTGAGTAATGGCAGCATCACTGGGAAAAGCTTGGGGTGGCTAGCAAAATTTCTTTGAGAAACCACACTTAACGTACACATTCCGGTGCGCTTGGCTTATAAAAGGCTCATTGATTTGTGACTAGTCTCATATCACATAAATTGCTCTACTGAATTTTTTTTTAATGTATTGCCTCACTCCATTTTACAAGGAGTCAGCATGGACTCACTCTGAAGGCTCATGTTACACAGATTACTCTTTTTCTGCCAAAATCACTGCTGCTGAATTTACCA